TATTTTTATTCCGAACCCATCGCGCGTCTGGCTGAGTGTCTCCCGCAACGGCGATGATTGGTTTCGGTCGTTCCACCTTCTGAGCGAGACGCGAGACGTGATGCGACGCGACGCGACGCTACGCGCCCGCGGTATGCGTGTGCGTGCGTAACAACGGGCGGCGTACATATACACCGATGACGATAGCGCTTCGCCTTCGAGGAGTAAAGACCTGGTTGAGTGAAGTGACTCGACGTCGGTAGAGGTGACCGAGTGCAATCAAGTGTATCGGGAGTCGCTGGAGCAGATAACGTATTTACAGGTCAAAGTGATTGGCGGCGCGACGGTGTATGTGCGACATATCCCTCTTGCTCTCTGTGTGAAGCGTGCGCGCGCGCACGGGCGTGACAGACACAGGTCCTTGCACGCGTCCGGGATGTACAACAACAGCGATTGTGTCTCGTAAGCATTCGCCGATATGTACGTGTCAGTTGCGCGAGGGTCATGGTATGCGCGTGTTTACGCGGCGAAACGCACACACGTACACCTAAGGACTATGCGCGAGCTTTGTGTAACGAGTTTTCGTCGAGTGTTTCGATGGAAAATTCGGAGTCTATGACGCGTTTAGTGAAGTACTTGCGGGAAAACATGAGAAATCCCGCAAGCTGCAGATCGTAAACAAGGTCGATTTCGTTCCATTTCGATAAATTCGTAAGAGGATCAAGGAATTGGTATTATTAAAGTGAACAGTGAATCAGTGAGAAAGCTCAGTCGAAGACATCTGCGGAGTCAAAGAAGCGCAATCGTCTTCTCTTATTCGAACCTTAATATTTGTTTTAATATCTTATTATCTTTCATCTTAAGTTGATTCCAAATTTTTGAGGTATATTCCTCTTAGAGATTATTTGTAAAATATATAACGATGTAACCTTTCTGCAATTAGAAGACAGTAGAGAAAAATTTTGAAATTTTACCCCAAATGATTCGGAAATAATAAACGATAAATGACGAGTTATTTATATGCGAATAGTAGTGAAAACGCAAAGTGTACTCGAAAAGTGACACGATTGCAACAGTCATCTTCGATTTGCGTTTTCTGCCGGCAGAAATACACACCACGAGAGAATGAGAAGCCTTGCTTTCTAATTCCCGCGTTTAGCGGCTTTAATTGTCACGGACCGACATCTTCTAGATAGTAATATACTTAATTAAAGTCAAAGACGAAGGTTGATCAAAGTTCATTCGACCAGTTTCTAGTACGTTTATACCTATAGGTATAAACGTATAAAGAACTTCATGTGTATCTTACGGAAAGTGAATTAACCAGCAGGTGAAAGCACAGTAGAAAGCATAGATACAATAAGAATATAAATACGCATTCTTATGAATGTTGCCACTATCAGTTTAAAAAGAATAAGATAGCTTGAATCATATCGCTCTTTCTTTTTCTCAAGTATTTAATTAAAGAGAGATGATAACAGAATTGCATTAAATCATATCTGCATATCTCAGAAAGAAAGAATGATTCAATTCTTTCTAATGGACAGGATATTAAGATCAAGCAATGCGTCGTTTGTATCTATATGTCCGTCGAAAATAGAGATTTTTTTTCAAATATAATGCCATTACAGAGGATCATGTAAAACTATGTAACCTCTGCAATAAAGAGTCAAATATTGCCGCCTTACTTACTATCTCGAGTGTCCAGATATTTACTTCAAGGTCTCTGGTCGGAAAAAGTAGTGCGTTAATGCACGAAAGGTTAAAAGGCAACCATCTGGCATCTCCAAACTCATTAGTGGTCAGAATGTGTGCGAACTGATGAACTTCTTCGGGTCATAAATGTGAAGGGAGCATAGAGATCGTTTTCGGTTTCTATATTGTCTCTAAGTTCGTCAGAATTCTCGGTTCCTGCGAGTTTCTCATGTTGCACGGAGAGTTCAGGTATCCTTAACAAAGTAAACCAAGCCGCGGTTACCCTTATCCCTCGAGAGGAATGAATACGGGATACAAAACGGCTGGGGTTTCCCTTTTCTTGAGTACACACGTGCGCGTGTTTGGCAGGGCCGACTCCTCCATTTCTCTCTATTGGTGAATCTTAAATCTCAAACAGGAAATGCAAAGATTTACTCGCGTTGTTCCACGCAAAATAACTAGGTCAGCAGAATTTTGGCAAACTTCAGTCTATTTTAAATGTATATGTGTGCACGTGTGTGTTGCAGCTTCGAATGCATTCCGTTTTGTGCTTACTGCGCTTGTATAGGCATCATTTATTCTTGTTTAATATTTGATAGACAATAAGAATGATAGCGAATAAAAAGCTTACAATGTGTGAGCTTGAAAACAGAACGCATCTCTTGTGCGTGACATTTTTTTCAATAATTTCAATCGCGGACCGGTATTCATAGTCCGTTTTTATTATAAAACTGTCTTAATGGCTTTTTAAATGCGCCAATACACAGCTCTGTGATTGGTTCGTAACATCTCGAGACTGTACTTAAGAAGATAGTCTGAAATATAAGAACTGACTACCGGAGATGTATCGAGCAACATCGAAAGTTCGATCCCTTGATACTCCTCCTCGATCAACTTGTTGCCCGTATCATTCGCTTTTATACGGCCTCCATTAATTTACAGCGCACTTTAATTACCCTGTATGTGGCGTATTTAACGAAATTGTGAAATGTAAATACATTATAATGAAGCTATAAACGAACGACGCGCGTGTATCTCCCAAGACACTATTCCGCAAAATCGAAGATCGATGTTCCATGATGATATCAGCACGTCCGCCGTGTTGGCTATAGACTGTTTGGTCTTTGTTAACAAACTTGTAGAAGAACAGCATTACCGCGAGCTGGGCTGGAGAATGGAGAAAAGTTGGCGAGAAATTAAACATGGTCGGCGTACACCTTGGAGAGAGCAAGGAAAACCGTGGAAAAAAAAGAAAGCTTGAGAGCTATTCCCGGGAAAGATACGCTCGTAAAAGATAACGAAGTTATTTCCTGCCGTGCGTGTTCCTTTCTACGGGTTCTCATTTTTTGTTCATGTATTCGTTTTTCTTAAAACATTGTAATCATGGTTAATCTTATTTTGTAAAAACCAGACAATGGAATCGTGTGTTGGCCAAGAAAATACTCTGCGGAAACCTTGAAATTCTATTCCTATACGTACTCTTTCTCCGCCCTTTTTCGAGAATATTGTTATACACGAGTATCTTTGGGAACTAAATTTGAAGTTGATTTGCCGTCTCAGTGACGTACGACACGATTTGTTCGAAAATAGATAAACCGATTTTAAATTTGTCAAGTGACATTTCGGCGAATTATTTATTCACGATTAACCTGGTTGGAATAATGTACATGTATCCCTTATATGAAATTACAGGAATCGCATCGCCGCTCTTTTTCTCATGTTACGTATTAATGAATATTTATTACGCCGGTTTAATTTTTTTTGCAAAGTAAATAACAGTGAACAAACAAATGGAATTGAATGCGGGTTTGAAAAAAAACGTTCCATGTATCATATATAATGTATATAAATAGTAAACAATCGAGAAATACGAAAGTCGAATAAAATTTGTTTAAATTGTTTGAAATTGTAGAAACAGAAATGCAAACGAAATCTGACAATGCGATGCGCAGTTTTTAAAATTTATTTTGAAATTGACATAGGTATATAAAAAATATTGTAGTTTATTGTAAAATTTTAAATTCATTTTACGCCTTTGAGATAACTTTATCAAACACTGTGTAACGTTCCAACGAAAGTCCTAGAGTAGCGGCTTTCATTGTACAGGTCCATTCACAAGGTAAAATCAATGACGGATTGGCGCAAAGAATTCTGCGGTCGTCTATTGGCCACAGCGTGTCGCCATGGTACCACCGTTAACCAATCAACGTCCTATTCGCGGTATTCGCGTTTTCTCTCTTGCTCTGCCATTCGTCACGTGAAACAACGCGCTTCGACGAAGCAAAACACGACAAGGGGAGCAATGCGTGACTTTGTGAAGCAAATGCTACTATTTTTCCCGTGAAATAATTAACTATACCACTTCCGTTTCCGGATGTCAGAATTTTGCGTGATATCAGTAGCTTTCAGCTTTAAGAAGCAGTAGCCTAAAAAAGGAAACTTTTCCATAAGACCGTGCAGCACAAAGTTCAAATTTTTAATTATAACGATACACTTCAAAACGCAACAATGACAAAATTAAATCATCTTTTTAAAAAAATTTAAATGTAAAAAATTAATGTTTATCTTTACAAAAAAAATACATATAATTAATATCGTAAATGATTAATTGTAGTCATTTACGATGCTAATAATATATAATATATATATATAT